GCACCCTTTGGTGCTCGGACCCTAATTACCGCGTGTGGCCACAGAGGCCGCCGTTGCCGCTGCTCAGCAACAGTTACGTTGAGTTGCTGTAAAGCTGACACGCTATACGCCCAATTCCCATTCCTGGGTCACACATTTATCCCTGCAGAACTTTATTATCCCATCCTGCGTCCCAGCACATCTCCATCTTCTTAAGTAATTACTTATTTTATTATAGAGCTCACATATTGTCGTATGCGCGGCTGGGGGTGGCGGTGCATTCACGTACCTGCACACTGCATATGTGTGTGTGTGTGTGTGTGTGTGTGTGTGAGTAAGTGGGTGTGTGTGAGGGAATTACAGTTATGAGTTTCTCCTCTTGTTCTCCTCCGTTGACGAGTTAACTCATAAATCACCTCCTCCTCACTTCTCCACACATCTCCCTCCCTGCCTCTCTCTCCTCCTCCTCCTCGGTGTCGTTCTCGGGTCAGATGCTTGGATTAGATGCGTCAGATTAGTTTAAATAAACTAATGCAGCTGCCTGCAGAACTTATTTGCAACGCATGCAAACCCGCAAACAGTTTGGAGGTTTGAACGTTGAACACAAACTAATGCAAATAGGAGTTTTTCTACTGGTTTTTACTACATGCATAAACAGGAAATTGCATTTATAGCAAGTGCATGATTTACATTTTGGCTCCTAAAACAGCAGAAAGTATTCATTAAGTGGTGAATTTACTGCACTCCCCAGTTTTGACACTTCTCAATATTCAGATTAATATGTTTCGGTGTGTATTTAGGTGTTTTCATGATGTAAAATTAGCATTATTTTAGGTTGATAGTGTGGAGATGTGTAGGAAAAATGTAAGAAATCATCCTTTTACCATCTCAGCTACATCTTGAGACCATTTATGTGGGTTCTGAGCAAAGAAAAACGAACCACTGATCCTGAAAGCGTCTGAGCTGAGATGGTGGATTGTGCACAAAAAGGTTGCAGCTATTTCTGAGTAAGCCCGAGCTAATATTGTGCAAAGACAGCGGACTCTCCTTAATTTGTCTGTGCAGCTTTCAACAAGTACCAACACCGACATGCACGCACACAGTTGCGAACGCACCACACGGCGCGCTGAGTGCTACGTGCGCTCGCTTGTCGCCCAATAGCATCGCTCTCTCCTCTCGTTCTCGCCGTTTTTCCCCAAAGCTGCTCGGACCAATCGGCTGCCTCCAAGTAGTCATAGATTTGTCACTCGTACGCACACGACATGCAACCAGATCTGTGGAAAAATGCCGTGTGCATGTTTTGGCAACGTACGCGTGATGCCAGGATTAGCTGAGTGACACAGCGACGGCCACGTGTGTTCGCACACGCTCGGACGTATAAAAACAACATAGGACACACATGCTCGACTAGCGTGGTTGAAGTGAGGTCATGCAGGAGTCACATGACCGAGTCTTCCTGCTATTTGGCTGCGGCTGGGTTGTTATTAGACAAGAGGCCTGTGTTTTGAGTCAGCACAACATATGAGTCTTTATTGGCAGGCGAGCGGCTCCTGAACCATCTCCAAAAGCATGCATAGCTATGCACAGACACACCCGCCGACGCACATACACATTCGGTACATGCAGGTCTGCTGATCCAGCTCCTAATAACATGAGGCGGATTAGCAGGGTCCAGCGCCACATATGGAGGGAAACTTAAGAAAACAGTGTGAAATTTAAAAGGAGCTTTAGACTGAGAACAGCCATGGGGTCACTTAATCCCCATTACTGCACACACATAAAATGCAAGTATGCACACACACACACACACACAGACACACACACACACACTCGCTGTTGCTCCACTACCCAAGAGCCCAGTGTCCATTAAGAGAGCCATGAATCCACCACTAAACCTGGTTTTACAGAGTGAAGCAACAGGCCGGGCAACCACTCGCACAAACACACACACACACACAAAGTGGAAGAAGAGCTCAGTGTGTATGTGTGTGTTTAGTGTGTCCATGACAACCAGGTGCCTCACAGACTCACACAGAGGAAACGTCGGCCACTCGAAAAAACATACATGAACTCAGTGGCTCCGACTGAGCAGGCTCTGCAACATTCAGCGGCTCCTAAAATAAGACTCGCAGGAAAGGCAAACGCATGAACAGCAGCTGGGAGAGACAGCAGGAGGACAGAGGTTCACAACAAAACAAATTAGGACAAAAAGACAGAGAATAAGACATTAGAAGGGGGCCTGCAGCGCTCACATGTGACCTCAGTCGCTCTCTTTATCTCTGTTCCTGCTTCCCTTCACACACATTCAGACAGCCTTGGACTCAGTCAGCCAGTCATCCATCAATGCCAGAGCGAGGGGATGGCGTGAAGCCTGGCTTCACCCAGAAACAACATGGCTGTCCGCAAACACAGCCCCGGACCGAGCTTTCGTCCTCTTAGCACTTTGGGATCGAACCGAAAACGGCTCTGTGTGTGTGTTTCTTACATTTCAGCGGTTGGATCGCTTGTAAATGCGTCCAGTGTGTGTCGTCCACAATAAACACACACACACACACCACCAGAAAGAATCTCAGGTCGACACAGATGACCACAGTGTCACACAGAGCCAGGATTGCTGACAGGGGCTTGCAAAAGGCGCAGTGGTTGACCCAAATCCTCCCATACTGTCTGTGTCATATCCTGTCTGTGTGCGTGTCACTTCCCCCCGCCGGCTCACAGCGGCTGCAGCTACGGGGATCCCACCGGCTGCCCAGAAACCAGCAAAGGCAGCTTTTAAGGCAGCAGACATCCGCAGTCAGCAGAAGGAGCAGGAGGGAGGACGGGGGAGGGACGCTATGAGGAGGAAGGTGATGCGACGATAAGTGGTTCTGTAACAATGTACACCTAAATATTAGCTCGTTATAATATTAGATGAGTATTTTTATGCATTTAAAGGTAAAAGCCAGCTGCTGACGTCCCTAAAGCTCAATATAACTAACTTATAATTTATCCCATTTATACAGATGTCTACGGTTTTTGTGACTACACACAGTAACTCACTGCACGGCTATATTAAGCAGAAACGTTCTCCCTTAATGCGTCCTTTCATCCAGTTATTATTAACACGCAGCACATTTTGAACCCAAAATACATTCCGTCCTAAAAGCTGCTGAAGCATTACGAGTTGACATTTTACAGTCGAAAAAAAAAAAACTTGAACCAAAACCGATTCTGCAAAATTCTACGTCCAAATCTAATACTTTGTTTTTGGCTTTGAGCTGAAGCTGCAGCTCACAGAGTGCATATTGTTGCAGTGAGCCGCCAGTCGGGACACACAGTGCTGCTACTTCATCATAACATTGTGCCTGAAGCTTTGACCATCTTGCCAATGTATTCATCGCAATCTGCAGCGCGAAAGGAGCCCGAGCTTGTTTATACTCGTGCAAGACGCCGACATATGTGGCGTATATATTCTGCCACGCAAAGGATTGTGGGAGAAAAAAAAAGCATGCTAGCTTGTACGATACGACTAGACGTGGAGGGATATTGTGGTATTTTTAGCGCTCAATATTTGAAATGCAATGTGTTGGGAAGTAATGAAGGTTTTTCTGGAGTTAGAAAAGAGAATTTTAGCTGAACTTTGGCTCAAAAGATAGAAAATTTGGACTAAATACTGAATTATACTGAGTAAGATGGAGGGTTAAGGTACTCTGATTACTGAAAAATCAAGTTACACTGTCGAATATGAAAACGTTTTGCAGTCTGGCTGGGATTTGTCAAGGTAAATGTTCAATATTAACCATTAATGTGCTGTTTTTGCAGCAATTTTCAACACTTTGCCTGCAAGTTTTAGAAAGAAACTTCCTCACATGATGAAAAACAAGGAGTTTGTTGAATAGGTTTCACGAAATCAAAAGCAGCCGACTGCAGATTGATTGATGTTACCCAAATAAAACATCATGATTTATGAAAAATGCGTAACAACAGCAGAGATGTGCTCCGTCTGTCCTTCACGTAGAACCGTCTCTTATTTTAATTGCACAAAATCAATGTCATCTTCCGTTAATTGCGGGAGTCGCTGCCCTATTTTCTCCCAGATCGACACACAGCCCTCCGCGTCCTGCCGATTCACTTCACAACACCGTTTGATCAACGCCAGAAAACGTGAGAGCGTCGACCGGCCGATGGCGGCGAGTGGCGGCGAGTGGCGGCGGCGGCGGCGGCGGCAACAGACCCCGGCATTCACATTCTGCCGCCTTTCATGTTTTGGGACCACCCCTCCCCTGCTACAAAAGGAGGTTGAAAAGCGAGGGAGAGTAGCGGGGGAGAAAAGAGGAGGGAATAAAAAAGACAGAGCGAGGGGCGAATGAAGAGAAATGCAGGTTTGGCCTCGGGCGGCGTGCTGTGATGTAAGAGAAACACAGAGCGAGAGGGAGGACGGAGGGGGAGGTGGTGGAGGAGAGTCGGTGTGGAGAGTCTGCCTCTGCACATGGACACCTATACACACACACACACACACACACACACACACACACACACACACTTGTGTTGACACAATACACTAACGACAGCGAGCGCCGTGTCTGCACAGGCTACGGATTCCTGCGTAAGGCTATTGTTAGCAACGCAACGCTCCCAAACTGACAGCAGAAAATATTGTTTTTCAAATTATTTTCACGTTTAAACTCGGTGTTGAAATCCGAGGGTGAGGTCACATCCAAGTGTGTGTGTGTGTGTGTGTGTGTGTGTGTACGTGGTATTTGCTGTAATGTCAGGGAGTTTCAGGCTGAAGCAACCTGACAGAGCTGCAGTGTATGAAACAGGCTCCGGGGCATGGACTGAAACTTGGCCTGCTAATTCCAAAACACACACACACACACCTACGAAGACTTTGTGTGAACAAGTTCCAGCATCTCTTTCTGTCCTGTCAACATACTGAACCATGCAGCTAATCTCACTCTACCTGTTTGACTCTGTCTCCCTCCTATCATTTAACTATTTAACTCTGCTCTTTCTATTTTTGTACGACTTGGGTCTTATCTAAGCAGTTTTCATCATCGTTGTTCTCGTAAAAGTGAATGTTTGAAAGCAAAGTCAGATTTTTATCTAATTAAGAAAAATCCAGGTTGTAGCTCCTCGTTAAAAACTGCACATATATCAAGTATGAGAGGTTAAATTTGAACCTTGGATTATAATTTCACTCTTCTGCCTGACTTTGTTTGTCTCTTATGACAGTTAAGTCTTATAATTTCCATGAATAAAAGCCACATCTTAGAAAATATGATCACAGATGTGCTCATAAATGTAAATATTTGAAGGAAAAATTTGCAAAATCTAATCCGAAGATCAGAGTTTTAACTACGAGCAAAAGCAAAGTAATGATTGGTCATTTAAAAGCAGGAAAACTGCAAATAAATCAACGATGAGAGGTTAAATTTAAACCTTGAATTAGAATTTCACCATTTTGCTTGACTTTATTTTGTCTCTCATGACTTAAATCTTATAACTTCCATGAAAAAAAGCCACATCTTATAAAAAGATGTGCTCATAAATGTAAATATTTGAAGGAAAAATCAGTCAAATCTTATCAGACAATCAGATTTTTAACTAATTAAAGTGGCGGTAAAGGGATTACAGACAAGATGCAGGTAATAACTGCACATATATCAGGCATGAGAGGTCACATTTGAACTTGATTTTTAGCATTTGGCATTTGTCTCACACAAAAGTAAAATGTTCTATTTAATAAAAAGTCAGATTTTTAACTCATTAAAGTTGCGGTAAAGTGATTACAAACTAAATGCAGCTAATAATTCCTACTTTGAAGGCCGTAAAGCTGCACGTATATCAAGTATGAGAGGTCATATGTGAGCTCTGGATGCTAATTTCACCGTTTCTGACTTTTTAGTCTCTCAAAACAATAAAATGTTTTCATAACTTCCTCCTCTAACGATAAATGAGCAAAGATGTGCTCATAAACGTGAATATTTGAAGAAAAAATCAGTCAAATCTAATCAGATTTTTAACTAAATTCTGCTTCTAACTCCTCGTTTCCATGTTCCTCTCTGTCCTCCTCCTCTCCCCGGCCCTCCTTCCCTTCCCTCACCTCTTCCTCCCCTCCGCTCGTCCTCGGTTGGTGCTTTCAGAAACCCGATAAGCGGCGTAGATGTGCGTCCACGCCGCTCCTTCCTAAGTAGCCTCCACGTCCGTCCACTCTGCCCTTTTAAACACCGGCCCTCTCTCTCCCTCTCCCTCCCGCTGCCTCTGTCCATGCTTTTAAGACGTTCGTAAAAGGAGGTCTTATTGACAAAACAATTGCTCGGCGGGGCTTAAACACTGCCTTTAAAGGGGTATTATTAAATTGCAGGCAGGAAGGGGAGGGGCAGCCAACAAGGGAAACCTGATGACCTCGCCATCGATTTTTACATCACCGGAGCGTTAGGAGAACTTAGCACGGAGATACTGACTGTATCCAGAGAACGAGCGAGCGCAGGGGGGAAGGAAGGCATTTTATACGCTGCGCATCGAGCTTTTAGCCGCCGCCCGGCTTCGGTAATTGTGCGAGCAGGTAAAAGGTTGGATTGTTTGACGGCTGCTCGGAGGCCTAAACCGGAGTCTATCAGCGGATCTGAATCTGATTAGCGCTTGACTTCTGCCTCTGCTGATCCATATTTAATCCATATTCAGGACGGGTCAATCATAGTTTAGTCTCTTTAAAAATGAACAAAATAACGACATAAATCTATAATTTCTTAACCTCTCAGCTGTTTCGGGGTATTGACTCGTTTAACTGATGTCTGGCTCACGTCTCCAACAGGTGATCCTTTTTTTTTTAAGGACGTGTCTTTGAGTCCGTTCGTATAAAAAGCAGAGGCTGTCCCTTTGTGTTTAAACCAAACAGTTTGGACAGAGTAATCCGGCTCCCTCTCAGCCAGACGGATCCGCTCCTGAAGTGCATTGAATCAGAGAAACAAAGGAGGAACCTTAAAGCGGCTCCTCTTCGGCTGATTCCTTTGAATTCTGAAGTGCCGTAATTGCTCTGCAAATAAATCTCTTTGGGATTTGTTTGATTTTAAGCACAGATGATTTCATTTGCATCTGCTGTTTGCTTTTGTCATCAGACACCATTCCTACGGTGGCCTGTGAGGGACGGCTGCTCGTGTGTGGAAGACTTTTACAGCCGAGTGAGAGGAATAAAAAAAGAAAAAGGATCTAAAACCGTAGTAGTTCTAGTAGAATAAACTGTTTTCATTGTAGAGGTTCTGGAGCCGCTCATTTCTGAACTTTTTCCTGAACTTGTTTTGATCATTACTCATCGTTTTACTCAATAAGTTTGCTGATATCGCTGCATCTTTAAGGCTGTAACCCCCACAGAGAGGTTCGAAAGGCGTGTTGTCTTAAAAATAAAAACTAAAATCACCAAATTACACCATTTCTAAAAGCCCGAAACTGCGACAGAGTCATTTGATGTTCGACCCTCCGACGGTCAAATCATTCGCGACGTGCCGCTCAGACGGGAGGATCTAACCGTATTAACGAGACGTTTCATCAAAATCACATTATTCTGCAGACATTTTTTTCTAAAAAAAACAGTGAAGAGTCTCCTCGGCGTGACCATGAGTGGCTCAGCTGCTCCCGACAGCCACATGACAAAAAGAAATCAGGGACTTTTCTCCTGAACTCGGCTGAACTGCACATTGTGAGCAGAGAGGAGGCAAACGAGGGAACAGATTATTAATAACAGAGACAGTCACAGGTTCTTCTACAGGTTTGGTCACACCTGTGGGTACCTGGGGGAGCTCCAGGTGTCTTCTCTTTTTGTAAAATCAAAGAAATTCAACATTTCATCATAACTTTGTTCTCCGACACAGAACACATGTGTGAGTCTCTCTACTTGTCGTCACGGCGGTTCTGCTTCCAAACAGGAACCGGACTTTATGTTGTGGTGAAAAACGAGCAAAAATGAGACAAATTGCTCGGAGCTCAGCGGGTTTATCAGCACGAATCAATCGAGGCAGCTTCGGCAGAGCTGCTGCATGTGCTGCGTGTATTTATTGGAAACCATTGCTGAGCGTTTACCTGTGTGTTTGAACAAGTGTGTGTCCCACTGTGTCACATCCAGGACCTGTATGTGTGACTAGGCTGGGGCGTGGTGTGTTTGCATTTGGTCCGGCGTGTCCTTATGCTCTCCATATATGCTCCTGCTATATAAATATGAACATGCATTGCCACACACACACACACACACACACACACACTCTCTCCATTCAAATTGAGATTCCCTGGTGCTGCGTATTTCTGCCAATAATTCATGAGTGATCTGCGCCCCTTGCCGGCCTTTAGCATTTTTATTTAATCTGCTGAGCCCTGCCGCGCGCTCGCTCATCAATAATGCACATCGACATGTGTGTTAACACATCCACGGTGTGTGCGTGAGCGGCGGCATGACAGATATTGTGTGATCATATATGTGAGATAAAGCATATTGCACATGTTAATAAAGGATGGCCGTCTGTGTTTACGTATGCTGCTTGAACATGTTGTCTTCTTCGGAGTCGTCCTCCTCCGCTGGGACAACAAACACGGATGGCCCGCGGTTCATCTGCGGCCGTTTGACACGAATTCAGCACCGGTGGCCCTCGTGTGACCGTGAAACACCCTCGCACCGAGTGTTTTGTGCCGTCTGAAGCCCTCTTCAGTCTGATTTCACAGTGGCCGACGTGGCTCGGCGCGAGTCGAACGCATGAGGAAAATGTGAATTCTGACATGCGTGTCTGCGCGTGTGTTTTTTCGACAGCGCCGACAAACAGAATCACATCGAGGGGAAATTGACTTCACCAAATCCGCGGGTCAGGAGGTAACATCACCAGGGGTTGCTATGGAGACACCCAATGACGGGGCTTCCCAACCAGCACAACAACACGCCTGTGAAATGGCAGTTCCCCTAACGTAACCTCTCTCTCTCCTCCTCTCCGTCTTTCCTTTCTTTTTTTTTTTTATTTTTCCCTCCGTCATCTCTTCCACCTCGACTCCTTCTCTCTTTCTCAGTCCGTCTCTTTATCTCTCTGTCACCCCGTCTGTTTTATTGTTTCCCTCCTCGATCGTCCTTCCACGCTACAGTGTGCTGCTCGCTTCGCTCAAACAACCGAACCATGCATGGAAATATGCCTGTGGACAAGCGTGCACACACACACACACACAAACACACACACACACACTTGTATACAACAAAATGTGAGGGGGCAGCGGGATCCCAGCATGCAGGGTTTAACAGCTAATACCCCTTAGATTAACCACCCCCGGTTCCCCTCTCTAACACGCACACAGACACACAACATCTTCCACAAACCAAGATTAACCTCCTACGATTTACACAGTGTGTGTGTGTTGGTCTTCCACACACACACACACATTGGTACACACCTTCGGGGTGTGCTGCTATCCCCCTACCAATAAAAATAACAAACAGAATGAGAGCACACAGTCAGCCTTAAGTGACCAAGCTACTGTTCATGTGACTGTCTGTCTGACTCACAAAAACACACACACACACACACACACACGCAGACACACAAACACACACGGCGAGCTGGGCTTTATCTCAGCTGTAAGAATTGATCCCCCATGGATTTCAGAGGGGTCACGTGATTTGATAACCTCTACAGGATTCCCTCTGGTCAGGAGGCCTTCTTCTTTTTGTGTGTGTGTGTGTGTGTGTGTGTGTGTGTTGTTTTTGGCCTGGTATAAAATGAATTCTCCACAGACTGATACATCATACCCTAATCTAACGTCTGTCTGTCTCTGAGGTCTCGGATTGAACAATGGCTGGGAATAATGTTAACATCATTAGCCTGCTGGTAATGGGGAGTTATCGTGTCTCATCTCCTTCTCTCCCTCCCTGCTTATCTCCCTCCTCTTTCTCCTCATCTATTTTACACTCCGTCTGGCTCTTTAACTCTCTTTCTTTCTCTCCTGCGGTCTCCACTTTCATACCTAGCGACCGACCGATACTTTGAAGGATTATTTTTGAAGGGGGCCGCTCAGATCAAACACCCTCGGCCGGGGCTCTCGCCACGGTTACCCGCCGACTGCAGCCCCTTTAATTAGACATGGCTAATAACACTAAGCACGCGCTGATAGCCATCTCTCTGATAAGAGTAGCCGCACAAGGACACAGGGCCCCTTTCTACCTTTTACAGCGTTACCTAAGGTTAAAATGGATAGTTAGCGAGCTTATTTTATGGCCGCGGCCCGTCACACTTGCGCCCAATTAACAGGCTAGTTGGCACTTACGGAGCAGTAATTTGCAAAGGCGGGTTAGCGATCGGGTCTGAGCGCTCCCTCGCTAACAAGGACGACTTCAAATGCTAAATGCATTATGGAAAACAAGTACTAAATAATCCTAATTTACGGTCAGTGGAATTTTAATAACGATTTGAGGATAACGGCGACAAAAACTAATCACGCTTCTCGGGGAAAGTTTTTTTTTCCTGTTTTACTTTCTCGCACGTCGCCGTCGTTTGTAGGGAAATAATCGAAGCGCATAATCTGTGAATGAATGTCTTTCCAGAGAGAGAGAATAAATGTTAAATGCGATCTTCACCGAAGAGATTAAAGCAAATCACGGCAGAAGGCGATGCTCTAAAATAAAAAAAAAAAACTCCAAATAAGTCAGCCAAAGTAAAAAACCCTAAATTATTCTCAGAGCTAACACTTTTCAAGTAATCATTCTTGTATAACTTGTGCATGTTGGATGATTTTATTGGATGTTTTCAGATAGTAGTTTGACTCTTAATTAACATGGATGCTCATGTTTGGGCCGAGTTAGGCTGTTGGTTTGGAAAATCACTCCAGGCCATATCTCTTTAGATGGATTGATCTAGGTGAGGACGATTCGGTAAGCGGTGTGTGTTTGCGTGCGTGTGTGAGATGAAAATAGGGGTGGAGTGGAGGCATTAATTCCAATCATTAAGAACTGGGATAGCCTGGGGGGTCAAAACCCCCGCCATCGACTGCATGTAAACTCCGACAAGACTCACCAGTTGTTCACTTGTAGGATGGTGAGGCCTGTGTCTTGCGCCAGCTGTTTCTTCTGTTCTTCTGAGGGGTAGGGATGCTGCGGAAAAGGAGGACCAAAGTTAGAAAGGAAAAAAAAAAAAAGGCACAAATTGTTTAATGAAGCTTCTTGTTTCTGGAGAAGGTGGGGAGGGTTTGATGTGCCTTTCAGTGGAGAAAGAGATGTTACAGGTTACACATCCACACCAGCAGTAATGAGAGGAATGAGATGTGTGCTGGTGCTCAGCGGTGCGTAGGTGTCGGGATGTGTGCACGTCTATCTGGATGTATACTGTAAGGAGTGTGTGTGCGTATTCACCGAGCTCCACCACCACCACCACCACCACCACCACCACCCCTCCTCCAATCATTAATGGAATATGAAATCTTGTAATTAATGGCAGCCAAAAAGGCAAGCCAATTAGAAAGTTAAGTGAAGTGGAGAACCAGCTCTGGTAATTAGGCAGCCTCTTACACAAATATATTCGCGTCAACGGCCCCCCTTTCACCCCGCTGCATATGTAATCAGCGAGTGGGGAATATATAACATTAACACGATGGAATACAGACGAGAGAATGTACGATCTCTCCTCTTTATTGCCGCCGGTTGCTCTTATCCTCATTGCACTTTGTACAATAACATGACTTTGTTAAGTTCGCCTTTTTTTTTTTTTTTTGCTGGAGTTATTTCCGCGCAGCAGCTTCCAGTACAGAAAGCCCTCTAGGTTCCATTCTTAAGGAGCACCAGCTTAATATAGCGCCAGGAATTTCCCTCCCAAAAAAAAAATAAAAAATGACACAGCGCCAGCTCAGAAAGTCACTTCATCAAATCTTTTGATGGCTTTTAAAGCGTAAATATCAACATATCCACCTGAAACAAAGTCAGACGTCCTCAGTTTAAATCTTTCATCACACAGAGACGAGTTAATTTAACTTGTTTTTTTTAATCGAGCCACTTTTTCAGGATTTTTGTTCATTCGCACTGATGAAAGATAAGTTATCTCACTTTACACGAAGGTTTTTCTGATGTTTTTCCTCAAAAATGAGACATGAACACCTGATAAACAGCAGCTCACCTGTTGGACCAGCAGCCAAAACGGTTTAACTGCCAACTTATGGAGTCATTTATTCCAATTTTGGACGTTTAAACCAAAAAAAAAACAGCGACAGGGTGAAACAAACTCACACTTCTGACAGAGATGAGTAAATTAAATTGTTTTATTCTAACTTAGCTCTCATTTTTAATCAATCCTCTGTCATGAAGCCACTTCTTTTAAAACTATTTTTCATTTCAAACGCCTGATAAACAACCGTCCGCCTGTTGGACCGACCGACGGACTGAACTGACTCCGAGCTCGGCCGGCGTTTAAATATAAACCTCGCCGGCCCCCCCGACGAGAAGCCAGCTGAGAACAGTTAAAGTTGAGCCACCTGTTTAAATATATAGAATGAATAAATTGGATAAATGTGAACTCGGGGAGTGTGTTGATTTATATTAGAGTGACGGGGGTGGTGGGGGGGCATCACAGTTGCACGGAGCCTTGTTCGACGAGGACAATGTGCTGTTCATGACCGAGACAAGACATGGACTGTGCTGAACACCATAGGCCGGCTATAAAAGAGCAGAAGAGGAGGGAGACGGGCGGCGAGGGAGAGAATAGATTGTCGGAGGGACGGCTCGGACCGGAGGACTGAGTAGAATCCAGAAGGAAGCGGCGCATAAACATGGCCGCACGCTTTGGTGCAAACTACCAGAGAAAGTTTCACTGAATTGCTTTTATTTTCTTGAAGATGTGCAAAAAGAAAAAGGTCCTTCTTCTGAGCATTTATTCGGTTAATATCTGACGACGTGGTGACCAGCAGCAGGCGACAACTCGTGCAGTAAATCTAGCAGGACGACACACCCTTGATAGTCAATCAGACGTGCAAAATCAGCGCGGCGCCAGCTTTTTCATTTTTTTCATCACAGTTTTTTCAGCGCATAATGAACAGGATTGTGTTTAATGCTGGGACAACCCGGCAGAGAGAGAGAGAGGAGACTAATTTTTCTTTTTTTTTCCCAGCCTTCCCTTGTCCATGTGATTGGTTGCGGGGGAATGGGAACACAAGGAGGCTAATTTCATGCGCTAAGTTATAATTGCATTGTCGCCTCCGGCCAAATTTGTGTCCACTTCTTTTCTGCAACCATTTTTTATGTGTGTGTGTGTGTGTGTGTGTGTTGTCGGCATGTGAACTGAGCGTCCATTCATGTACAGCAGTGTGTGAGAGCGTGCACAAACATCCTTCCCCGATTGCAGCCCGATCAGATAATATCAGAACTGAAACAACCGTTTAACTGCGTTTGTCCTAAAAGTGAGAAAACATTATTCTTCGGGGCTTGTGTCATCTGACGGCTGTACATATAGAAACCACAAACACACACACACACACACACACACACACGCTGACTTCTGACATATTAATATCAGCTCATCATGTGAGAAACCTGCCTCTGCACTCTTTCTTCTCCACAAACAAAGCCGACCGAACAAGGGGAGATCTATGTGTCCGTGCCGCCGCCGCGCCGTAGATCTGTAGAAGCAGGAGTGTCTTCCTCGTGATATCGGGGGGCCCGCCGCCACGCCGGGGGCCACGAAGCAGCACAAACACACCCTGTCTCGATGCTTCCCACCCTCCGGCTTTCCCAGAACACATAGATAGACAGATATACACAACCGGTCGCACACAAACAGACACGCAATCTCAATCTCGGACGAGCAGCACAAGGAGCACGGCATGATTTCTTCTGAACACGTTTTGCACGGGGAAGAGTGAGCGTTTTGCAGAATAAGCTACAAAACACTGCAACGTAATCATGTAGCTGTAACTGAGTGTTTTCGCGTCGCACGACTCGCGATTTTCACACAACTTCCTCCCGAGTTTTCACAAAGCAAAACAGCAACAACACTTAATGCAAGACGAGGTGGTCAGGAAGCCAGCACATCAGAACTGTTTTTGTCCTCCTCTTTTTTTCCTCCAAACCTCCAAATTAGCTCCTATCTGTCAAAACACTGTGATTTAGCTCCTCGCGCGGCAACAAGTCGCCCAGTTTTAATATTGTCTGTGAGTGATTCTGGTGTCTTAACGGCCTTTGGCTGCGGTTCAGCGGCTTGAGAGGGAAAAGAGAGAGAGAGAGAGAGAGAGAGAGAGAGAGAGAAAGGCCTTTTAGTGAGAAAAGCAATAACATGTTCTTTAAAAGAGCAGATGGAAAGTTTCTGCGCATCCTTCCCTCCCTTCCCTCCTTCCCTCCGCCTATCTTAATGATATGTCTTCTCCAAATATACAACTCCTTTCATGAGAATTTCCACCCTGCTCGCTGCTCTCTCCGCTCGGCCTCGGAGCATGTGGGTGCCAGGAGGGCTTTGCGTGTTTTTGCTGCGTTCTTTTTCTTTTTTTTTTGTGTGCGTCTTATCAATCCCAGCGCATGTGCGAGTCCATTAAGAGTCGGGAGATTTCGCTCTGCTTTGTAAGTTAACCTCAGCGCCAGTGTGTGCGTTGCAACTAAGTCCAGCTGGTCATATGTGTGTGTGTTTCTGTGCACAGATGTGTGTGTGTGAATAACACAGCATCAGTAACATCCCCTCCCCGTCTGACCGTCTTCCTCCCCGACCTCCTCAGACAAGAACAAGAGAGGGATAGATAGATATGAGGAGGAACCAGAGGGAAGGAGGAGGCGAGGGGAGGAGACATGGAAATGGATATGTGGAGCCCCGGGGTTTTAGCAGAGAGATAAGAGCATAAATATTCTGTGAAACCCCTCTTTACTCCCCTTGTCCCGTGCCTAACCCAGGAGAGAACTCTGTCAGGCGAGATGGGAGGAAAACTATTACGGCTACCAATTAAACAAGCCACAAAAACAATGGGAATTACAAGTTTTTAGTCTTAAACGCAATAAAAGAATCAAAGCTTCAGACGGCTGAGAGGCTCTGCAGAAGTCGGTAGCCGTATTGAATTAATAAAGATATTAGAAAAGGAAGGCTTCAGAGGACTTACATTTCAGACGCTACCTGACCCTGCGCTCACAAAAGCCGCACTGTTATGATTCTAAATTTCCTGTCCTGCGTTCTTCATTTATGTCTCAGAAACCTGAAGCTTGAGTAGCTTACAATATGGGAGAAACCGTTTCCCTCCGATGCCATGCTCAAGTTCACTCGATTGAACCTTCGACCTTTTTTTTTTTTTAAACAGAACAAACTCTTAGAATAATCTCATCTGCCGGAGCGTAAAGCAGAATCGGACGCCTTCAGGTCCCTTAATTCTGGCTTTGCTTCTGTTTAAAGTCTCACCTGAGTCGAAGGGAGGAGGGAAGAAAAGAAAGCAAAGTCGGGGATGCTCCACTTCACCAGAAGAGGAGGGCTATTTCAGAAATGTCTTTTATCTTTCTGCTGCTCTCTCTTTTCTTTTTTCATCTCACCTCCTCAGTAAAAAGCAGCTTTAGCTTCCCTGAACACTTCTTTTTTGTTTTGTAATTTGACTAAACCAACATTAAAACACTTTTTTTTCTCTACTTTCTGCTCTGGAAAACAACGCCACATTTGTCAGCTCACGAATAAACCTCGAGCATCTTTGCGTAAATAACATTATTCTAGAAATTCTATGAGTGTGATTACACCCCTGTTAACCAATTCACTGCAGCCACAGTCCCCTCAGTGTTCCTTCCCCAGCCATTAGCATTACGGCGTTATCGTTGCATATATTTCTATTTAAAGCCGCGCTTCCCAAGCCTCTGTGCATCCCATTAAAAAGGCTTGACACGCCACATTAGCTTTTTAAAACTGCGGCCATGAAGCGGGGACGGAGGGAGGAATGAGAGAGACGAAAATCATATGTTGTCGCAGCGCATGTGATGTCCCTCAAAAAGAAAAAAAAGAAGAAGAAGAAGAAGAGAGGCCGTGACTCTGCACAATCTGTGGAGAACACACATGGGTCAGTGGTATTTTAAGTTAGCTTACTTTACCAGCAGATGGTTCGGGTTCGCCACAAGGCGCAAAGACGCCAAAAAATGCAAATGACTCCCAGTAA